CGAGCAGGAACACAAGGCTAAGGTGAGAAGGGTGATGGAATGCAGATGATATATCTAGCCACAAAAGATGATATTATAAAAAGGAAGATACCGCTTCTTTCTTTATCACACCAACATCATTCATTACTTGCCGCAATACTACAGTATATTTCCTTTTCCAAGAAGGAAAGGTTTAAAAAGCAAAGGGGCAGGAGAAGGGGCGTTATTCGCACTTGTCGCGTGTATGGCACGTTTTACGGATCAGTAAAAAGGTCCGATAGGACCAGACGATGGATTGTGTCTTGAACCAAAAGGAGCTGAAAAAAGCCCTCCTCAACCTTCCCGTCCTTCCGTAGGAGTGCTGTACGAGTACTGTACGAGTGCCCCCCCCTCGCTAGTAATGTGAGTCCCTGGGGGAAGCCGAGTTGGGATATATGACCTTGGCGGCCATGTGTTGATGCAAGTAGATCGGGCCGAGCACCGTTTGGTCCCGCGAAGGTTTTTTCTTTTCTCTCCTAGCGGTTGGCCCAGTGAGATTTGGAAGCGTAGGGAAAAACGTGGCTCTCCGGTGAAGTGGATTTTGCCTTCTCACCCGCCATGCCTAAATCTCTCTCCAGGCGTCCCGTTTGGTATATAGATACCGGTATTACAAGTAGCACCCCTAATGGGTAATAACGTATCCCATATCACGAGCGCCCGTTTTAGTAAACTACATTATATGAAAGTTGGAGAAATACAGGCACGGATACAGTACCCCAGGTTGAAAGTCAGCCAAATTTGTAATGGTGGCTGGTGTCTGGGTGTGCGGTTCGCTCTGCCGTGGAATACATTAGAGAACATTCTACGGAATCTTCTATCGATCCCCTCGAACCTAGAGGCGAATTCTCCAATGTTTTGTGTGGTTGATCCAAACAAGGGGCATCCATGTGCTGATACTTCGCGGAATGCAAGGAAGGCCGTTAAATGAAAAACGGGTTGACGAAAAGACCAAAAGGAGGGACGAAGAGCAAAAAGAAACTCAGGAAAAAGAAAGCTCAGAAGGAGAAAAAGCAACATCATGACTAGGTACGAAGTAGGAGTATTTCCAATTGCGTCCATGTACCGGTACCGATACTGTACGAGTACTAGTGCTCGAGTATGGTCTCCCAGGGTGTCGGCTGTCAGTGATTCCCCACTCCAATCCATGCTCTAAGAGAAAAGGGAGGTTGAGGCAATCGATCTCGCCGATTGCCCTGAGTAGAAGTCAAAGCACAGTTCAATTTCGCAATAGCTTATCATTATGAACATTATTATTATCACCTCGGAATTGTTTTGTCTTTACCGGTGCTTTTCCTCTTTTCGCACACCGCGAATCACAAAAAAAACAAAACAGCTCTAGGATCCCGAGTGAAATAATCCAGCGGAAACACCGGTCACCAGAGTCTTGATCGGACTGGTTCCATTCCGGGGTATCGGCGGTTCCCTCGTGGCGACCAGGGTGTCTGAGTGGTGAGGGCAGTCTCGAGGAAGCCCTTTCCATGGATCAGCCACTATCCTTCTTACGCACGGACGAGCCGAAAGGGGGATGGTGAAATTCATTTTGTGTTCGCTCTCTTTATTTTATTTTTTGCAGGCATTCGACCCTATTTTATTTTTTCTCATATCGGCATTCCTTTTGTGATGGAAGAGGGGGTGGGTTCAAATGGGTGTGAGTGTGTGTGCGTGCGTCGAGTGTGTGGGTGGATGTGCTAGGCTAGGCATATCGCTTGGCCAATGGATGCCGGTGCCCGCCAACGCGCGCGCGCTACAAAGCGCCAAATGTGGATAGCGCAACATGGCGTAATCGACAGACCCCGTTCGTTGGCCATGTGAGCGACACGCACTCCACAAGACTGAGCAAAATGAAATGGAGATAGAGTGAAATATAATGTTTTGGAGAAAGAAGCTTGGAGGATCAGAGAGGACAATTCCTAACAACGATACTATCAGGCCATTATCACGATGCTCAAGATAAACAGGGGAAGAATCTGTCTGAAAAAAAAGGTGAAAAGGTCTTGAAGGTTATTATTGAAAAGGGGACCCGTCTACTTGTACCTTAGATGCATCGCGTATATGGGCTAAGTCTCAGATATTCGCCAAGCTTGCAAAATGTGGTGTTACCAGTGGTGTCTACAAATTCAGGTACAAGTACCGTACCGCACTGTGCTGACCCGTACAGTACACAAATGTTAATTACCGGTATTCCAGAAGCAAGGGGAAGAAAAAGAAGGGAAAAAAAGAGCAAAGGGGAAGAAAAAAAAACAAAAAACAAAAGTTGTTGATGCCAGTGGAACATCGCGTATCATACAAGTATATCCAAGCTGGCAGCGGTCGAATCGAGAACAAGAAAAGAAGTGAGGAAGAGCTCACTTCCAGAAAGGTGGTTAGGCGATAGAAGCCTTTTTGGGTAGTACATTTCCGAATTAAATACAGTGGAACGGGATTCCGCAAGCCCTACGCTGCACGACCAGCAACAACCCTCAAATAATTCCGCAGGATTTCATGTAGATGTGCGAAGCAGCATGTGCACTGATGCCGTTGCTAAGAAATCGCCATGCGGGCAAATCAACACGAAATACGTTGGTGCATCCTTGCAAAGGGTTTACCCGCGGGGAGGTGGCCTCTCTCTGCCTCTTCCAATAGAACGGGTTTGCCTGAATTTAACGTGGGAACTCACGCAGACGGTCTCATTCTATCAGGCAATTCCCTGGTAATTCCGGGTGAGAAGGATGGAACAATGGGGTGCGTCGATGTACCTGCTGTCTGTTGGGTGCGGTACTTTTTTGGTGATCGAAGCAAGAGTGAGGCCCTCGAGACCCACCGAAATGATGGCTACGATCAGGCAATTTACCGGACTGTTGATGTCTCTGACAGTTGTACCGTACTTGTATCATCCTCTCCGATCAAGTACGTGCATGTCGTCTTCCGGAATACCCTAGTCGTATGCGGAGTACCTTTTTTTATGTTTATTACAAGGCGAGGAGGGGTGCACAGAAACAACAAGCGACTCTGGAAGGATTCGACGGAGATTATCGCAGGTCGAAGAACAAGGATTATGGTCTGGGTACGGCGCCGTAGGGTTGTAGGCTGGGTGGTGTGTGTTACTGCGGTCGAAAGCCTTCTCTGGATTCGGCGTGGAAGGTTCTGAATTTCGAGGCTTGACGGACCCTGTGGTGGCATAAGCAGCCTCTCAAAGTTGGGTGAGTGACGGTGAAAAGGTTCCTGTGATGCGGTTATTGTTATTATTATTATTATTTCTTATACACACAACGATCATCGTGGGGTTTGTGGACATGTACTGTCTTAGCGCAGTTCTCTCAGAGAAAGCACCTTCTCCCTCTTCACCTACTGGTGTGCAAACTATTGTTTGTTATTTTGTTTGATTTTCTTGTTTTGTTTTTAGGCAATTTGGGGTGTTCGAGTAGTAGTGCCTAGTGGGGAAAGGAGCCGCCCTTGGTTGCATGGAGCTAAGTTACGGTACGTGTTCGCTGGGGGCGAACTTTGGCTTGAACCCAGCAGCTCGGATCCACCCACACTGTCGTGCCTAACTTATGCTGCTTGCTCCTTGCTTGTTGGGGTGTGATGCTACTGGTCAAGCACAGTACGGTACAAGTACGAGTACAAGCACCACGGTACAAGCACTGGGGCATTCGAGCAGTCTGCTTCTGCTGCTTCTGCTGCTTCTGCTCCCTCTGCTTCTGCTGCTGCCCACTGGTCACTGGTCACCGCTTCCCCTACATATACAAACCGCGTAGACTATGTGCGTCCTTCCTGTCTGTAAAGTAATGACCTGCGCTTGGCCCAAAGGATGCGAACTAGAGACTAGTTCGTTGCTATAATCCCCACGACAACATCATATTGGATGCCGAGTCTCTCCCTCTTCTCCACCCCTCTTCCTCTCAGTCCTTTCTCTCTTCTCGCCTGCCTGCCGGCCCTTACCTTGCCTGTTCTGCCCCCCTTTCCTTCCCTCCCTCCACATCCACTTCCCCTTCCCTTCGCTCGCCTGCGCACCCTTAGACCGCTGCTGGGTCATACTCGAGCACTTAGGATTGTAGACACCCCTGCCTGTCTTCTGCACGTTTTTTTGCACAGACCATGATTATGATGGCCTCCTGCGTGAATTCCGGGAATGCAGCTAACTAAAAACACATGGTGAGATAGTGCTGTAAATTTACCAGCCCTTGATCCCATACCATGGCATAATTCCCCCGTATTGTTTGGAGGGCTGATACTTTTGGCGGCGTTTGGGGGACTCAGTTGTTGCTACTCGAATAGTGAAGAAGGCGGATGCCGGAAATCGTGGTAATCGTGGTTGTGGGGGGGGGGGGCGAGGTGATAGGGTACTCGTACTGTACGGACGGTAAGGTAACGTGAATGGAAGAATGCGGGTTATCCCTTTTGTTTCTATCAACCCGTACTCTTCCCTGTCCTAGACGCCCTTTCTTTCTAGAAGCTAGATATCGAATGAGGCTTTCGCTTTCACAACTTACATGTCTCTCACCCACTTTCTTTGGTGTTTTTGTTTCGCACCTCCTTCCTTCCATTTGCCGCCTGTATCGTATCAAATCTTTGCATCATTTTTCGTGTGTCTCTGTGCGCTGCACATTAGCAAGCAATGTGGTAACCCTCGAGACGTAGTCTACACCGCTTTGATCCTTCTCTTGCACTCTCACTCACATACTACAAGTATCTCTCTCTACCTTACTCTTTTACTCCTTCCTCTCTCCCTCTCTCTCTATCTTCCGAGAATGGAAGATTCGGCCCTGGCCACACTGAATCCATCCACACTCAAACCCCATCCCTTCCTCACCTATAATTAATAAAGTAAGAAAGCGGGCAAGAAGAAGAAAAAAAAAAAGAAGGGAAAAAAAGAAAAGGCAAAAGGAAAAAGGAAAAAAAGAACCCGAAGAGAAGTGGAAAGGAAAAGCCGCCTCAGTACGGTACAAGACTATCTCTTCCCATCACTTAGTAGGGTACCACCACCACCACCACCACCACCACCATTCCTACGCCTCCACTTCTATCACCCATCTCTTTGCTCTCTCCCTCTTACCACATACCCTAAGACCCCCCTCCCCTTCCTTGAGAATATTTCCACCCACCCCGCGTCGTCAAATTTCTTTTCCTTTTTCCTTTTTCCTTTTTCCTCCTCCCTTATACCGGTATTGGCTCGCACCGGGTCTATAACAGACCAGACCGTCCTCCCCTCCGTCCCGAACTCGCGATTTTAATATTCTTGCCTCTCGCCTGCTTGTTGCTTGACCTTTGCCGAATTGTCAAATCATCCCATCTGGTTGCAACCCATCCTTTCAGGCACCGTCCTCCTCGACAAAACCTACTGCCGACATCACCTTTCCCCAGGCACCGGTCCATAGTATCGGTTTTGGGATTTCAACCTGCGAGCAATTGTGATCATCCTGCACACATCGCGGCTCCGTAAGTCATTTCGTCTTGCTGGGCGAAGCGGGATAAGGGGGAGAGTCGTATGTACTCCGGTGGTTCTAACCTTGTTGCTTGGTGCAGACTTTATCCCCTCGTCACACTTTGAACCAAGTTCCCACGCTCCAATCCACCCACCTTCTTCCATATTGCCTCATCACTCTTTTCAGAAGGAAAGACAAGAAACAAATCTAAGGACAGCTTTTATTCCTGCTGGCCAGAGCTTTATCTATTCTTCTACGCCTTCAAATTGGGCTACTCCTTTCCGCCAATCGACAACCTGCTCTCAATAATTCGATTTTCTGCGCTCACATCTCTCCCACTTGAAGTTGAGGCTGGTCTGGTCTCATTCAGAAACACGCTGGTTTCCGGGAGTTCGCGTCGCTTTCCAAAAGAACCGGAGGCATCCGACCAAGGCGAACCAATTCCGAGTGTAGGAACAGTTGGCCGCCATTCAGGAAGGTGTTAACAACAAGCTGGTTTGCTATCGGAGGACGGCAACGATCCGGAGGCTGCGCGAGTCAAGTCGTAAGTCAGTCGGTCTGTGCGGATTTCTATCGATCTCAACCAATCCTCAATCAACTATTCCGCCCTGCACCGTTGGTCGATTATATTGTGGTTTACAAGTGGCTCGAACGGTTTTGAGGTTCACGAGAAAAGCACTTGCGAGCGATCAACAAGCTATACATCAGAGAAGGAAGGCAGCTTTTTTTTGAACCTGCAAATGAGAGGGGGGGGCTTATAACTTGATTTTTTGTTGTCGAGGAATAGACAGCGAAAGTTCTGTCAAATAACTTTTTTCTCATTGAACAGCGGATAGGTGCGGTAACCTGGTGGTTGGGTTAACTATAGGGATCATTTAGCAGGCTAAGGCTCTGCTCTCATTAGGCTCGTAGGATTTTTTCACTAGTTGGGTTAGACTCGCCAACTGGTGGGTATCGGGCTATTCTGACCTTGAATTTTGACTTCGTAACGTTTGTGATCTGCACACTGGACCGTCTGGAGGAGACTGGGAAAAAAGAAACAAAAAGAAGCTCAGTTTTGAGAACAAAAGGTGGGTACCCGCAGAAACCTCTAACAAGCGTCCTTTCTCTTCTCGCGCCTTTCCTTCATTTTGTCTTGATCTCCAGTTTGGAACCGCGGAGCACTCTCGATTTGACGGGTTTAAGTTGCTGATGAAAGGGTGCTTGGGGTCTAGGACAAACACATTGCTTACAAGACAATTTTCGGTTGCCTTGCGGTCTGATTCGAGAGGGGCAGGAGCTCCGGCTAGTTTTGCCTCGCACAGACTGTCTTTCGCCTCCAGAAAGATTTAATCCCCCCCACAAAACACTTCGCGCACCACAATTGATCCCTCTTTCCGCAAAACCTCACTTCCCTTGTAAGCATACTCTGATACGAGCCACAGTGATATTCATTATCTCATCGTTAACCCCTCATAGCGTGCTCAAACCTTCCCGGGTATTGGGACTTTAAAAGCATCTCCCTTCCCGTCGACTCCGCCCTTCGATTATCTCTTGTTTTCATCTTGTCGAATCCTTTGAAGACTTCCAACCAAATTCTAGAATACGGAGAACTATTTCTCCACACTTAATATGGACCTAACCAATATTTTGAACACCAAGGATGCGGCCGCTGCAGCAGCAGGCGCTGCACCTTCACTTACTCTCCCTTTGGAGATGCAAAAGAACCCCTTCCTGGCTAATTCGGGTGCGCATCCCCACAGTCCCGCTGCATCAGACTTCATCTCGGATAGGGAAGGATCACCTCATTCATCCACTTCGCCGTCGGCCTCAGAACATTCACCTGGTGCCTATCCATTACCAAATACTTTAGTCTCTCCGAACGGATCATATCCAGGCGTACCCTCTGGCACAGTTAATACAGTGGCACGAGGTCCTGGCAGGCCATCATCAGGGGATCCTTACTCAAAGGCATTCCCCTGCAGCGTATGCAGTAAGGGCTTTGCACGCCGTAGCGATCTCGCTAGACATGGTAGGTTACGTTCTTTGGGGTTCCTCAATGGGTTGTTTTCTAATTGCTCCCCAGAACGGATACATACTGGTGTCAGACCACATGTCTGTGACTACCCTGGCTGCGATAAACAGTTCATTCAGCGGTCAGCATTGACTGTACATGCTCGTGTCCATACTGGAGAGAAGCCTCACATGTGTGACACTTGCGGAAAGGTAGTTTTGGCCCTTATCTTCTCAATCTTGCTTTGTTTACTGATTTCCCGTGCTCCAAACAGCCATTCAGTGACTCAAGCTCGCTGGCTAGGCATCGCAGGATACACTCGGGGAAACGCCCATACAAGTGCCCTTATGCAGACTGTCAGAAGACGTTTACTAGGTAACAACCCCCGCAATTGTGGGCATTCGGGAAATATCTAATTCTTTGGCAGACGAACTACACTTACCCGTCATCAAAACCACCACACTGGGACTATCAGTGAGGCGGCGGCAGCTACAGCAGCAGCGCTGGCTGCCAGACCTACCCTACCAAAGCCTGGGAGGCCACCAAGGTCGCCTAATGCACGTCCTTTGGGGCGTCCCCCAAATGATTCAAACCCGAGCTCGGCACATTCAACACCCTCGCCCGGTGAAAGACATGCTTCTCTATCGCCATCAACTGAACTCCCTCCGCTATTCCCGGCCCACCGCCAAGGCGGAGATTATCATTATCGACAGGGCAATATCACTTCCCATCCCTCTGCTATGATGAATGAGTTGCAGCCTCTGACACCCCGTCCTACGCCTACGACAACCCCGACAATTTCCGCCGGGATGGTTCCTGCGGGGCCTCGTCAACCTCCTACCTCGAACCCAACTTTTCTGTCATCATTGCCACCAATTCTTGAACCTCCACCAAAGCCTGACGCGCAGCGTCAAGGTAGTCCACATCTCTCTGGAAGCCCTCACATGTCTGCTGCTGGGAGTCCACATATGTCTCATCCTAGCCCTCACTTTTCTCCTGGATATCGCTCACCCTCGTATCCCTCGGCCCTTTCCGAAGAACCAGTATTTTTCCCACCTCCCTCTTTCCAATCCCCAGTGTTAGGCTCGCACTATAATAGTGATCATCATCTCCGAAGACCTCACTCCAGTGACAGTCTGAGCTCTTTTGAGCAAAGAGATGCGAGACTGCCTGGCGTGTACCAATAATCTCCCTAAATTCTTGGCGTGATTGGGAGAAGGCTTCGGGATAATTATGTCCGCGAGACTATATCTGGCGATATTGAGGATAATTATACCCAGCTTTTTGGCTCGGGCGTAAGGGGAAGGGTGTATTTTTTTCTTAATGTTTCCCTCGTTTCCTACTCTCCGGTCGCATATTCTTTGTTTTCTTGCTTTATTATCTGGCGTGGTGCGTTTCATTTTTGCTATAGAGGTGGTTGGGTTACCTGACGCCCACGTCTTCGGCGTGGTTGAAATCCGGTTTAAAGCCTTCTCTTGAGATTGGTGTCTGACATGGCCCGGTTTGCAGGTGCTGGTAGTTTTGGTATTATGCGGTTCCAACTTCTGTGTTCTTATGCCCCATTTTCTACTCGTGAAGTGCCGATGTGGGGCTTCACACAGTGCCATTACCTCCTTTGTAATATTGAGAAGCAAAGGGCGGCCATGCGAAGAGTCTCCTCCCGCTTGATAGGAATCGTGGTCGGAACAAACTCCGCGACAGCGGATGTTGGGGAATTGGTGCCCCTCGGGTCTTCGATCAGCCGTTCTACTCCGTTGGCCGAAACTTTCTTTGTGCATCTTTTCTTACTTATGTTAGATTTTATCACCCTTTTCCCTGGTGAATTCCCTTTTCCTCTCGCATCCAATTCTGCGACATGGGAATCGCCTTTAATTATCTTTTTCCTTCCTGATCTTCCCACTCCCCCTTCTCTTTCTCCTTATATTCGGTTTTCATTTCTTCGTCTTGGATATAGAAGGTTGCGGTGACGAAGGTTTATGACCTCATGATGGCTTGCTTGCGAGGTTGGATTCCCTAGCAAACTAAGGGCCCCCAATTCTATGTTTTTAGTGTTTCTCCTTCCATTTTCTTTCCATAACATGTGTGATGTTCCTATTTTCCCTCTGCTTCCTTGCGCCTCCTCATCTACCATTGTTGCTACTTTTTCTTGCAGTTTGGTGTCCGTTTGTGTGTGTTTGCTTTCCCGCATTCTTAAAGGTCCGGTAGTCGGGGTGTTTTTTGATACAAAAAGAGTTCTAGCTGTTTGAATTAAATAGAAGTGGCAGGTCGCGGTCGATTGGGTTGTTCTAGTGAAATGCTGTGTCGTGGTGCTGTCTTTGGTGGGTTGGTTTGTGTAGGTTTCTGAAGGTCTGTCCGGCGGTTGTAGATCTTGGGTATAAGTAGTGTTGTCCACACTCACCCGTGCGCTCACCTCAACCCTCCCACCTCCGTGAGGCCTCGTGACGACCTGTCCCTCCATCCATCCAACTGTTCACTCTGCAGCAAGGGGTAGGCCATAAGGTGCGGAGCGACCTAAGGTGAGATATGTGGGGAAAAGGGAGAAATCAAAAAGGGATCAATTATACTTGAGTACTTAACAATTGTGCTAGTTTGCGCCTGTCAGTCAGCGGGGTATTATCTATTGGTAGGTGGTGTTGCGAGAGGGAAATGTTCGCTCGGGAGGAAACCCTCTTTTTTTTCCTTCCAAAGTTTGCTTTTTATATTATTCCCGCCTCCCCCCCCCTCCCAGCAAACAAACAAACAAACTCACAAAATACCCGGTAGGCCAGCAAAAAACAAAGGCCAACTTTTTCCAGTCTCACCCCTTCCCCCTCCATCCCTTTCTTTTCTCTTTTCCCTCCGCCACCGTCTCCCACAGTCCATGGTACGCCTACCTGTCCTTACCCCACCATATCATCACATCACATCACCGCATGTACTGTATGTGACCTTGCCTACCTACCTGCTTTCTGTACACCTGTCGTATCATAAGGCCCACGGGCCAGGGAGATACGATACATACCTGACAACGCAACTTTACGGCAAAATGGAAGAAAGAAAGAGAGTAAGGTAACAAAATTGGGTCAATCCAGATGGTTTGCTGTACTGTTTCGTACCCAATTTCACCTTTCCCCACCCCGCACGGAGCCCCCCATGCACATGCATACTGGCATGGATGTGTATAGATTCATGCTCGCGATTTTTTCGCACGTACCGAATGTGGGGTTGAGATTGGCTGGCTGGCTGGCTGGCGGGGTGGGTCGGTCTCCTGGTTCCTCAAGTACCGGTAGTGGTTGTAGTAGTTAAGTTAGCATCTTTGCTTGTTCGTACTACAGTCGTACAGTACAGTGCCCGTGTACAGTACAGGCATCGTGTGCAGGCATCATACTGTGCTGTATGGTAGGCAAGGAAATAGAACATTCATTTGGGTTGTCGTTTGGTTGATCTGCTATCCCTGATCGGGGGTGCTCTTTCTCTCTCTCCTTCGTCTTTTTTTTTTTTTTTGTTTGCGGTATTGTAGGAGGAGGGTCCGAGTACTTGTAAAGTAGAGTAGGGTTGGTTGGTAAAAGTATGATACGATACATACAGTATAGGCTTCGGCGGTAGGCCGGATGGGGAAGGACCTAAGTTAATGTGGAGTGCGAACTGTAGATTTGGGGATCCCTCTCCCTACCTTTTTTTTTTTTTTTTTGGTGGGAGAGGGAAGAGCACGTTTGGCCAGAGCTGGATGATCTTTCTTGGGTATTGTATGGTACCGGTATAAGGAGTAGGGATGGTAAGGGAGTGGGGGGAGGGAGGGAGGGAGAAAGGGCTTTAATAATACCGTAATAATAATTTTTTTCCAAAAATTTCGCCTCAAGGCTCCTTCCCTTCCCCCCCCCCCCTTTTTTTTGCTCTGCTGGCAGTTTTTTTTCTTTTGCCTATTTTCCCTCTCTCTTTCGGCTAATGGGTAGAAGCAGGTAGGGCTTCTTGGGGGGCCTGGCTCGAATTGGTGGTAGTATAACTTATATCGGTTTCAAGGCGTGCAGTACCGTATCATAACATATTACAATTTATTTTATTTTATTTCGACGGGTGAGAAAGAAAGAAAGAAAGAAAGAAAGAAGGAACGAAGGAACGAAGGAAGGAACGAAGGAAGGAACGAAGGAAGGAGGGCATCGTATAAAGATCATGGGTTTCACAATTAACAGTAAACCAAGTTGGGCAAGATAGATGTTTACCACTATTCACAGATTTCGTGGCATAAATTCCCTCCGTCCCATAGCCGGACACTTCTCTTCCCCCCGGTGACTGCCCCTTTCGAACTACCCCGCATAGAAGCCCATATCCGGAGATCCGGGGTTAGACTTACCGTGTCGTAGTGCCATTCATACCTGCAGATTGGACAGGCTGAACGATTCTCCCATATGCGATAATTTGAAATTATATCTATCGCGAATGCCATAAGGGTACAATAGAGGGAGGTGTGTAGTGCAGGTAAGTACCGCAGGGTTATAAAGTATAATAAAGTGAACCATATGACGTTCACCCGGTCGGCCGAATCCGAATCTCTCATTATTTCAATAATGGGGGGATAGGGTAAAATGGGATAGAAAGGAAAAAGGGCACTTTATCTCGCCCTATAATAATGTGATCTTGATTCACTTCTCAAGTGTCTGGAGACAAGTGCCGCGATATTGTTAGTCTAATATGAAAACTGCCCGCATTTAGTAACACCCCGGCAATACAATGCTCGAGCACTGTAGTTGTGACCCCATGTAGATCCTCACATCCCACGTGACATTTGGCGAACTCTAGCCTTTGTCTGCCTTCTGATTTGTTGCTTGGATACCGGTATATTAATTTAACCCCCATGCTTCGCTTTCTGCGTGTGCGACGCCATCTCAATTTTGTCACTTAATGCCATCGCTCTGCACTCCATCGATGACCCACCATGTGTTGATTTCGGATAACAATACAATTGACCGAAGTAATAAAACTAGAGGCAGATACCCCAGCTGAGCTTATCAGGTATTGAAAAGAAAGGAAAGAAGGGGGAAAAAGGAAAAAAAAATCATAGACTAAGTATCTATCGTGTTCCAATTATATCAGCAGGGCCGAGCTTACGGTAGAATGGGGTAGGCGAGGGAATAAATACAGAAAAAAACAAAAAAAACAAAACAAATAGCACAAGAATGCACGGCGCCTTATAGTATTTGGAAATTTTTCATTCGCCTCGGCAGATGGCAATGAATTCCTCTTTGCTAACTATTTCGCACAACAGCCATGTCAGCATTGCACTTCGTCTCAATTTCGACCAACTAGAGGGTTGAGACAAAAACAGGGATGTTAAACAAGTTGGAAACATACTCATCCCGTCGTTATCGATATCGAACTCCTCAATCATAGCCCTTAACTCCTCCTCCTCCAATGTTTCCCCGAGCTCCCTCGCTACCCTTCTCAAATCCTCGATCCCTATCTTCGATTCTTGGCCTGTTCCCCCACCAGCAGCATTTGCAAATAGGTCGAATGCCCTTAGTATCTCATCCAGTGGATCTCTCTCCAGAATCTTCTGTGTCATGATGGAAGTAAATGCCTCCTGAGAAACGTACAGCCTGCTCGGCTGCGCACCGGGCTGGGCCTGCTGTCCAGGGCCGGGGGTACCGTGCTCACGAAGAATTTGAAGAAGCTCAGGTTTGGGAACGTCAAATCCGAGTGCCTTCATTGCAACCTGTATTTGATCCCGAAGTTTCAGCTGGGAGCAACTTGCTGGAGCGGAAGGGGTCAGAATATACCAACCTTGAGCTCGTGGTAGTCGATCATGCGGTCCTTATCAAGGTCAAAGAGGTGAAACTGTATCATCATGAAACCGTAAGCGAATTTCTAGCCATGCATCTTACGCGCGGGGCACGAAGAACTGAGTGCACTTACAGCCTCATTAATCTCAGCCCTTTGTTCCTCGCTCAGTTCTACCACCGTACCGCGCTCCTGGGGACGCTGTTGTTGGGAAGTAAGGTCACGGTCTCTCTCGCGTTGTTGGTGGTGCCCGGTACCACCTCTCGCCCCGCCAGTGTTTCCAAATAGACCCCCGCCCAGAACCGACCCGCCGAGAGGATTGCTCGAGGCACCGGCTGTAGGGGGCGGCGATTGTCGTAGGCCTTGAGCCCGGCGATTGCGACCACCAGCAGGCTGAGCAGTCCCCTGGCGTGGATTATTTGGACCAGCTGAAAACATTGAGGTACTGCAGTTGGCGTTTGTTTTGAGACGGTGTTAAATCGTGTTTTCTTTGAGGGTGACGTGCTATAATTAGTTTAACGCGAAGCGAGTCAGGTGACCTTAGGGTCAAAGCAGCAAACTTGCAAGACGATACCAGATGGACTTATGACACGAGGTGGTTAGAGAGGGATATTAATATCATAACGTCGACTTGCATTTACGAAAGGAATTTGCAAAATGGTGACGGTTCCGGCCCGCTTTGTTTTGTGTTGTGCTTCAGCTGACGTTTTCGCAGTTGCTACGTAGAGCTGAGACCTCGAAAACCGGGGGTGTATCATAAAGCATCACTCGTGATGACCCTTCAGTGGCACTTGGAAGTATGACTTCAACCGGACAGAAGGTACGAGTATATCCGGCTACCTGCCGTACCACTCGGCCCATCGGAACCCGGGGGGTGCCAGGAGTCACATCGATGCATATAGACGCCGACGAGGCCAGGATATTATATACCTCCCTCTTAGGATGTACGCAAACGTAGGAACCTCCGATGTATGGTAGAAATGGTAATTCTTTTTTTAGAGATGCATATCAGATGGCTGGTTCGGTACTGTTGGGGGATTTGGGGGTTAAATGAGATTGTGGTTTTTCTCCCTTCTACTCTTTATTACTACCTTGGCTGGGGTCGTACTCTTGTAAGCACTAGGATACATCCAGACTGGAAGCTAATCAAACGGACAGAGCATAGGTTTCTGGATGTCAATATCCAACTGCACCGTTCGAGTGAAGTCTGTCCTACAGCCCCTTCGGTATTATTCCATTGAAGATAAACGGAACCTTTATGTTTGCTACCACCGCGTGGCCCACCAATCGACTATTATACAAGATGGTATAATCCAGACGCCGGACACAATTAAACCCACCCCCTGGGCTCAAATAAGCACCATACCCCACTTTAATCATTGAACTTGAAAGAATTTGTTGAAAAGTCGATTGCTCCACCTCTATAAGACCCTCTCTTCTTCTGTAATCCGAGGAAAGTTAATATCTATTATGTGATATTTGCCAAAATAGAAAGAGCTAGGTGGATAAGAAGTACAGACCTTGTTTTTCTCCTTTGTAAAACCCTTCCCCTTAGTAATAATGAGATCTTGGTGCGCCCTCATGGTATAGTGATTCTCCGGGAGCCGGAGAGCTTCAAAAGTATTATCCTTGACACGTTCATCTGCATAAAGGATTTTGTCATGCTCGATGCGGGAGAAGGACTTATTAGGAATAAATTCCTTTTTCTCCCTCCGGATGCTGTCAGATGAAGAGGCGGAGGTGGTGCTAGAGCCACGGCTATGAGGGGCATAAGTATATAATAGATAGATGAAGCGATGAGCGACAGGGGAACTTACAAAGACCCAGAAGCTTCTCGTTTACTTTTCTTGGCGTCCCCATTGGGCATGTCGCCTTCTCGTTTCCGCTTGTTGGTTGGGGGATTTACGGGCGTCCTTTTGTCTATCTCTTTTGACACCTTTTTGACCGTGCCCTTGCCATTCTGCCTTCCCTCGTCTTTATCGGAGCCCGACCCAGAACTTGAATCAGAGCTTGAGGACGAAGAGGGTGAAGATGAGGACGAAGATGAGGATGAAGACGAAGACGAAGACGAAGACGAAGACGAAGATGAAGATGAAGATGAACTAGAGGAGGACGAGGATGAATCTGAATCCGAGCTGGACGAATCATTAGAATTTTTGGCCTTTTTGGCCTTTTTGGCCTTTTTGGCTCTTTTGGTCTTCTTGGCCTTCTTAACTTTCTTAGCTTGCTTCGAATCATCGCTCGAAGAGGACGAGGATGAAGATGAAGAGGATGAAGAGGACGAAGAGGATGACGAGGATGAAGAGGATGACGAGGAGGAACTATCCGAGCTTGAGGGATCAGTGGAGCGCTTGGAATCTTTGTCCTCTTCTATTGCTTCAGAATTGCTGCTAGAGGAGCTTGACGAGCTTGAACTACTAGTTCCAGAGTCAGATTCCCCAGAGCCGGAGTCGGAGTCGGAGTGGCTAGAAGGCGGAGGCTTCCTATATATCATACCCATGTTAGTTTCCTGCTCCTAAGAAATTTCAATCAAAAGGAATTAGGTGTAGTTCATACTTTTTACCTTTTTCCTTTTCACCATCGCTGCTGTCGCTGCTCCCGCTACTATCGCTATCACTGCTGTTGTTTTCGCTGTTCTTCTCCTTATCACCAACAACAGTATCCGACGACGAAGATACTTCCTCTTCACCCCCCTTCCCCTTCTTCTTCTCCTTATCACTCGCCTTATTATCGTCATCATCATCTTCATCTTCACTATCGTCTGGCGACTCATCGCTGGAACTCTGCTCATCATCCGCCTCTGACGAGCTGTCGCTGTCCTCCTGCTCCTCCTGCTCCTCCTCCTTCCCTTTTGCGGCCCATTCCTCAAAAATAGCCTTTAGGTCTGGTTCCCCATTCTTCAATTCCCCCGGCTTTGTTCCACCAGATACACTCTCCACCTCGAAAATCTTTAATGTCGACTTAAACCCCGAGTCCTTGAGGAATTGTCGGACAAGCGCGACTAGGTGTGGTGCCGGAGGAGAGGCTTTTTTCGACTTTTTCACCATGGCTGTTGTTTGGGTTGTGAGGGGGAATTGAGTGTTAGCCGGAGGTAAAAAGCAGGATGACGCGACGAGGGAGGCCTTTGAATGGATTTTTTTTTTTCTCTGTCAAGGTCACGTGGGTTTAGCCTCTTTGCCAAGGCGGGCAGATTAAGCTTTATCCGTCCAGGCTCTTCCCGCTTTGAAGAGCCCCGCAATGGCTGACACCAACTCGAATGAGATCGGGGGTGTCGTTTCTTTTTCATAGAGATTCCGGCGGCTTGAATCGATCCCCATAAGGAAGTGCTACGATACCCGTATGTTATTAGCAACTCGGGGGCCTCGATATGCTAGCGCTGCGCTCATTCGCGTGACCGAGGGGTCCTACTCTACTTAATATGTTTACACTCGTCGCGCCAATTAGCATTGAAGAAAGCGGCAAAGCTTTCAATGTTTTCTGCCTCAAATTTCCACTCACAGAGGTCCTGTCATCACTAGACTTGACCCTGGTCCCAATACCCGGACGCATACAAGGCATCTGGGTTACCCAACAAACTCGGCACAGTATTGCGCACTTTGGTTTTACTTACCTGACCCCAAATAATTGTCCCATAGCAAGGAAAACACATTGTCCATGAACTTAAGAGCCTGTTTGGCAAAAAAGGAACCATTGGCAACCATTCCTTATTGAAAAGGGTTGACCTGTAGAAATGGATGTTACCTAATTTGAACCATTAGTTTGTAGGGATCTTGTTTGGGTCAATGGTTAACCTTTGGTCGCTATCTGCAACCTCTTGTTGCTCTATGAAACCTTTTTGCTTGTATCGTACTTCCTGTGTGAACACTTTCGGAATTTACATCCTTTATACACAGATTTCCCATCTCACAAAGATTCAAGAGTGTTGTAAACAGCATTTGGATGAGTTCAAGAACTCAATAGGGATAAGCATGGAGGATTTCATGTACATATTGGCAGCCAGTATAAATCGAGAGATGAACATCCTCTCTTGACAGAAAAAAATTAAGTATATCTGTGAATAGCAGAGGTGATAGCAACTTGGATACATCTTTGAATGATGACTTGAGTAATTGTATCAATATCACTATTAGCTGCTATTTGATTGATGTGGAAATCGAGTGGAAATCTTGAATGGTCAAACTATGATATTATTATATATTCTAACTGGAATTATTCTGTTTTATAATAATTTTTACTCTACAGTTGTGGAAACTATTGTATGATTTTGGTTATGATATATGGTAAACTATTTTGTGTGCTGCATTGAAAGGGAATGGTCAATACACAACTTCATTGGCAAACAGCTGTTGGTTCAGCATTTTTGAAAAGGAAGGAAATGGGAGGTTTATATGGGGCGATGAAAAGGAGCCGTTGGATCCAAACAGGCTCTAAGTCATAGATAGACATAACTCATCACTCGTGGGCCGACCCCTCGGCGGAGCGTACTGAACCTGCCACACAAAAATCTCAACTCATTGGGTCCCTGGCGCTGGAGTGGGCCCTCCGGGGAAAGGAAAAAGAATAATCAACATCTACTCATTCCCTAAAGTAACAAGGGTTCCGCACAACAAAGTCCACAGACGGGTTCGTGGAGCGGTGTCGCATCAAAGGTGGGCGGTGCATAGGGGTGCTTGCGGGATTTTTGTTGATAATCACAGCTGTTTGTGTGGTGCACCATAGGCTAATATATAGCGTTTTGCTTGCAGTTATTCTACGATATGTCGCAATGTTGAAGGGAAGTTAATTACCGCGATGGGTTCCGTAGACACTCGTGGGACAGCCATCCTAAAGTGTAGGTATGAAGGGATTTCTGCGTCGGCTAGCTACGATCAAATGCAAAATCTGCTAGATTAGGCAGCTCGGAGCCCGGATGCTGCACTCGCAGTCGAAGGCATCACTGCACCGCTGTGGATTTGTCGATTATGTTGTTCTTCAATAAGAACCCTTAGCACTTCCAGCAAACCATTACCTCTAACGAAAGAGGGCAAGTAATCGGGATGCGTCTTTATAGCCTCTCTCTCTTAATTGCATTCTCTCTCCGGCTGAGCCCATGCCTCAATAGGGACGGGCGACGGTTACGACTGCCTTTCGGACTCCGATTGCTGGGTGAGCGCCGGACGTCCAAGCTTCTAGGAGTTGCGATAACGGAGAGGGCGGTTGCAGTAGCCGATTTTGTACGGGGCTGCAGGCGGTGCCGTGTTTTTGATACCAAGTAGGTCTGATGGGGGACTGGTGGTTTGGGAGTGGGGAGGATTATATCTCCAATCGGTTGTGATCACTTCTCAACCTGACCGAGACACACTGTCTGGAAAAAAAAGAAGAGCAGAAAAGCGCTTCCTCAACACTGGAATCGTTTATCGTCTTTCCTCACCCAGTTCCCCCTTTTCTTCCCGGATCTGAACATTTTAAATACAAACATTCCACCTGGAATGTAAAAGACTATAGTGAATAAAGAGGGTGGTCTGATGACGAATGTCCACGTGGTATGCCACAAGTCCATTCGCCTACCCCACAGCGCCAGTGGCACCAAGTGGGGTCCGAGAAATACAAGTTCTGCTTAGTTCTGCCTACTGTAGGGCCTTTCTATTCAATTCTCGCCACTGATACACTCCCCGTCTGATAAGATAGCTGTTTACTAACAATGCCGCAAAATCCAAATACACATCCTACCAACACTTAACTGGACCGCAGCAAGCATACCTACTAGGGAATTCACGGTAATTGGGCGTTCGGACGTATTGTGTATCTGCGTGTCCTGGAATTTGGGTTGAAGCTAATGTACCCTGTTTCCACTCATCGATCGTCACTCGGAAACACCATGATCTGAAGAGAGCGCAATAGGCTTGATTGATACTGGAATCTATGAACCCAAGCCTCCGCAACGAATCAATCACCCCAACATTTTAACGCGTCATCCTACAAGGTCGGGTGAGAAAACATTCCGAGTCATGTGATATTGGAAATGGTATAAACCCCCCCCCCCCCTCGCCCCGAGCGCCCCCAACTCATGGATTTATTCTGCTGTCCATCAACTATCGTATATCTGGCTCAAGCTTTAGTCGTGCTGCAAGAAATGGAGGTTCATAGAGATTGGAGTGGAGGTTACTGCTACTTTGACTTCCATGACCTCTCCCCCTGCTATTAGAGTTACTAACCCCCCCGCTGATGCTCTCTCCTCCTTCCCCCTTCCCCTCCCCTTCCCATTTCTCCCTTTCCTTGAGCCTTCCCCCTTCCTGGGCGCCAATTCTAACTGGTTTGCTAGACACATACGAAGCAATAAATAACAGTTATTTCCTCAAAACGATATTGAATGGCCCGCACAACGAACAAAAATTCCTCATAGTTGGGGTTCGTTATAGCACGGTGCCTTGAGAACCCACCAGGAAGTTGCCTGGAGAGGATTTTCTCTGTGCCAGATCTTTTCCCGGGAAACCAGCTCTGAGCGGGTAGCTATGTGCCATGTGGGGCACCCTGCGGTCTCTAGGCCGTACGGTGCTCACAGGCTTGCAGGGCTGGCGCATTATGCGGAGGTATACCAAATTTGATGGAATTCAGCTTTGTTGGATTCGCAGTAAGGCTGTGCGAGGTTTTTCTGTCACGGCGAATTGGCCGTTCAAGTGCGCAGTACGCGGGTGACCGAGTATCTGCATCCCCGTCAATCCTCATATCAGTACCCAATCTTTTACACCCGTATTAGAATATCAGCCGAAGCCATGGTACATGCACCGCATGTTTTTTATTACACGATACGGTAGATATGAGAGAAAGGTGCCGTGGTTGGTCTATGGGCGTAGTTGAAGCTCTACATTATTGCAAGTCCTAATTGTCACACTTGAACTATTTCTAATCTCGGGATACTCTGGGGAACTAAACTGAACAACAAATATCATACAGACGCAGAATCCTCACTTTTGAGTATTGGGAACACAGTAGCAGGTAAGCTATCCAGAGATGCCCAGGTGATGACTCAATACAGTAACCCAGGGGCATCACTGGAGATATGATACTAGAATAAGACCCGCGTTGAAAAATGTGAACACGTCAGTACTGAACTGCACCCGACCCCACCCAAACCTGGTTTTGGATAAATTCAAAACCGACGAGTATGATATCAGTTCACTAGCGCCCAATACCTTATCATCCTAAGATATCCCGGCAAGTACTGCACGGCACTTCCATAGAAACCAACAGCATCGAAGTCATTTTGTAAACCATTGCTCCCTGTACCGGGTGCCCACTATGCGGGGAAACACTGTACAGTGCCTGAATACTATCAAGGCCCCACCCGAGCCCTCGAGTGTATAATAGGCGTTTGCCCACCGGGCGCCTGTTCTGATTCCGGTACTTTGCATCTAAAATTTCCCCTCCTCCCCATACCTTTCCAAAGTTGCCGTGTTTTTGGCGAGCGGTGGGAGCCCGCCCCCACCTATGGAAGCAGGAAAGAGAGCGCTATGTCAGGTCAGGTTGTGGACTAGGGTAGCCACCTTATTAGATGATCTAGGCCTCCGTGGGTTTTTTGTGAAGGATAGTATAGAGATCACCTCAATCCCAAAACTACCGATACGGCACTTATAAGCATTTACTAGGCCGTGGGCACAGGGAAGAGCTCGAAGGATTTACGATAGGAATCGGTGAAGTGGGCAGTAGGATATTGTCAGATACCACCTATCACTCACAGTTATGAATAACCAGCTCGAGTTGCAATTTCTGGTCTCCGTGCCTCGTACCATAATTAAGACCACTGCTCCTACATGACGCACCCATCGTTTTTGTCCTTTTTTGTTAGAGATTTCTGATGCCTTTGGCAGATAGGGTAAGTGGAGTACGTGGTGACTACTACCTTCTCCTCCCTCTTGGGCTTTTTTGTGATAGAAGAAACATTGGTAGAGTCAATGAATCTGGAGAGCTCCCGGGAACAGTATTGTAACTCATGGTTTCAAAATTCTGTTAACAACAATTGGGAAAAAGGTTCACCTGCCTCCACCCTATAATATCATAATTATCATACATCCTCCCTCAGGGCTACATGCCCGCAGAGAGGGCTAGAGGTAAGGGTTGGCAAGGATCCAACGAAAGACTTTTTGCAACGGGTCCTGGCCCCTCCTCCCTCCACCACTGCCCCCCCCCCCTTGAAGACATGCGGAATTAGTCATCGTCCTCGAGGAGAATACAACCCAAGAACCTTGGAATATCATGTCTGCCGGGACCGCGGTGTTATGATATATCGCTAGGCCATGGTCCCGGCATTAGGTGTGATGTTGCTCTATGGATCATCTTACGATACCGGGTCACCGTGAGAATGACATCCATCATTCGTGATATGAGAAGTGTATCCCCTGGAGATCAAACAACCTATCATATCATACCTAGACGAAGAGATCTAGTGGAGTTGGTCCAGAAAAGAGTTTTATCTCATCTATCTTCCTTCCTTCCTTCCTTCCTATGAGCTCAGCTTACTTTACAGATATTCGATCCCCGCCCTAGATGGTGGCACTGAAATATCCCTCCATCATAATATAGCTATACAGCGTACCCTCCCCCACATTTTAAAATGCAACAAAGGCATCATACCAGAATTCACTGGAAGAAGGAGAGAGCACAGCCATGAACCATAAACCTACCCGTCATCACCCACCCCTTCAACCCCACACCCAGCCCCGTCGCTTCTGCCCAGATTTCCCTCTGCCCACTATTTCCTCAGACTAGTGAAAGATGATCATCCACTAACTTCTAACATCTCATCACGTGTTACTCGGAAGTGCTTCCAGGATACCAGGTGTTAAGGAAACATCGGGTACTTCAAGGGCCCCGCTAGACACCCAGAAGATCCCGCCAATCGTATCTAGCCTCTCGCTTCCAACCTTCCTTTTAGCTTCCTTCCTTCCCCCCTCCCCCCCCGTACCGACCCGTCGTTTCTCCATCCATTGATCCCTAATTTCTAAGGCCGTGCCCAGCCGCTCCCGAAGAAAATTACTACAGCAGGAATATAAGGGATCATGGATCACCTCTGGGCGATCAAGGCTGCATGACGCTGTGCATAGTTAAGTTCATCATCGCAGAGGAGCACTATATAAACACCTCACAATCTTATAGAGTTAGGGAAGATGGTTGTCACCCAAGTAATGCCTTCCTTTGATTGTAATTTAGAATCCCCCGAACCTGTCGATATTCGAGGCAGACAACAAAGCGCGAAAATTCGATCTCCGAGAAGAAGGAATATTCGCAGATATGAATAATTGAGATTCATACCTAGTACACTCATTCCGCTTGTTTTTTTTTTTTTCAGTCTACAGAATGGAGATGGAGAGTGTTGAAATCATGCAACATCACTCATATGCCACCCCCACATCTTCTGGTCCTGAATTCCTGTTCCTGCCCCCCGGTCTGAGCCAAGGACGGTCATGTTGGGTTATCACTGCAGTGAATGGACTGCTAGAGACCGTCCAGTCCCATCCGTGGCAGTACAGGAACCCTTCCAGAAGTTTTCTCCCGTATTTCAACCAAGTCGGAGATCCCCATCGATCTTACCCTCACCCCCCTCCTCCTCCTCCTCCTCCGCGTTCTTCCAAGCTTCCTTCAGCTCCGCCCGAAGTGTTAGGGCTACATTGTAGTCCAACCGCCCCAAAAAAGGTGAAGGCCAACGAGTGATACATAATGAATACGCTGGCTTCAACAGAATCACGCCATACCCCTCAAGCGGAACAGAGGAATTATATTAAAAAAAAATGGTAAACCCCTCAACAACGGTACAAATGCTAGGCAAGCTGCTTTCGTTTTCGTACAAGATAGGGATGTCTAAGCACCAAAATTATCCTGTCCGTATGATATGATACGAAAACATCTTGCCAGGCACTTGTACCTGAAAAAAAAAAAAATGAAAAAAAAAAAGAAACGCCGCACCCAAAACGCCGCTCACCCACCCACTCGCCACAACCCTATTCTTCCTCTGATATGACACGACACAAAGAAGCCTCCCACAAATCCCATCCGGCCCATCCCTAAGTTTTACCCTCGAACCTCACATTCGAATATGATACCGGTACGATAGAACCCCACGGCACTCTCCGAGTCCCGATACCAAGGACGCAAAATCTAACTACCGGTAAAATAAAAAAAACGTGCAAAACCACCGATCACTCAATTCCCAAAGCGCATCAAAGTGCACAAAGCGGTGTCTAGGAGGAAGGGAAGGAATGCCTGTTTTAAAAATAAAAAAAAGCCCTCACGCCGAGACCCGCCGCTATTACCATAGCACTAAATAATACACGAACCTAGTGATTCTCAGCACTTCCATTACCGAGGTATCATTTCCTCAAGGGGGCTACGGTAGTAGTAGTAGTAGTTGCGTGCGTGTGTGTGCGAACGGTACGATTTCACTCATACACGGTAGTTTTTTTTTTTTTACCCATTTTATTTCTGATCCTCTTCTCTTCCCTGGCCCCGGCAGACGTTCCATTGCTCCGGGGTCGTGCGGGGGGGGGGGGGGTTCTGGTATCATTCCCGATAAGGCGAGAACAAAACGATATAAAGTTAGTAATCGGAATGAACCCTGGCTGTCCGGCAAAGCTTGTTTCTTACCCTTGGCGAGCGGGGGAAATGGGAGCCGGAAGGTTACGTACTGTACTGTACTGTACTCGTGTCCTTGAAATTCTCGTAGGGTGCTTGTACCATCACGCCGGAGGTATCTGCGGCGGTGTCATGGTAAATAACGACCATGTGCCGTGCATTCCGATCGTGGGCAGCGGCTGTACCAGGTCTCCGCAACGAGCAGGTGGTATTGTACGGTACGTGTAAAGTACCGGTACGGACGGTTGTTGGTAGACAGATCGGATAGGCGCCGTATCACCAAACTCCCGCTAAAATCCAACGGTGGGCGGCAATCGGAGTCGGAGATAAAGGTGAAAGAGGAGGTGGTACCGGTATTATGGTGGGGGTGACGGGGAGGGGGGAAACGTGGAGAGGAGAAGCACATAACTTAGTCTTACTACATACATTTAGGAAACCCCCCCCCCCCCACTCCATTTTCGGGAGCCCCTCTTCGGAATGTGCTACTCAACAATTTATCACTGTGCTACTAACTTGGTACGATAAGGTGAAGGTGGTGAGTACGACGCGGGTACGGCAAACCTGCCGTTGTTCCTCTACAGAGCGGTGAATAATGACAGATTCGTTTACAGCACTCAGGTATGGACGTGGGTGACCGGACAGCCAGGGATTCCAGAGGCCTGACCGTTCTTGCCCTCGTAAGAAATAAAAGAATGGGTCTGGCATGAGAATTGCCTGAACAAGCAAGAAGCTTTGACACCTCTAATCCCTGGCTGTCCGGTCACCCACGTCCATACCCGAGCACAGTACGATGTGCTACGCCGTGCTAGCACTGTGCGCAGCTGTTATCGAAGGTTCAAGCATCATAACTAGCTGCGGGCGGTGCGGTAGTAAATACCGGTGCTGGGTATCCGGCATAAGCCTTCCTTTTTTTTTCTTCACTGGCTGTGTGATTGTGTAACAATAGTCATGCTCCAGTATCCTCAGATGCTCAGACTATTAGCAGATGCTAGTCTCATACTGCAAAAGTATCATAGCTTGCACGATAGCTCAGGTCGCCAGGGCATGACTGATTTCGCATGAAGCTGCAGAATTCTAACCCCTACCGGTACGAGTACCCCAACACATGATACCGATACCCACACAAGTCGCAACTCCAAAACCGTACAATAGCCTTACTCTGCTCCCGAGGAACCTACCGTAAGCTAGTTCAGCCATACTGTACCATGCCAGGCAGGGCTAAGCAGCACCAGTACCGTATTAGTACTTGTACAAGTACCAACCAACCCCACCCCTAATACAAGCGGAAGCGAACTCACGATGCCCGTTAGACCCCCAGCTAAATGCCCGCCTCCCAAGGTGGGAAAGAAGGCAACCGACCAATCCACGGTAAGGTACGAGATATCATAGTAATATCCAGTGCTCCAGAGCAGCACGGTTTTACGATACAACAAAGGAGGTGTGGCTAGCGTGGTTAGTGTGGATCATGTAACGTAACGAAATCTGGCATAAACAACAGAAATACCCCACCCCATAGGCCAACCCCAAGGCCCTGGCCCATGTCACCGGTTTTGCTTGTATCATACTCGCACGTTTTGAGAGGGAGCGGGGCACGGTTTCAGACCCCCCGTGGTATCAGGTTTTGAGCAGTATGTAGTATGATACGAGTGCAAGTTCTCCCTCTATCACAGGTCTCCAAAATTTCAGGAGCCCATCCGGTACCATACAGGGCATTGGAAGAGAGTCATCGAGTCCAACTTGCAGTTTGCACTTTCAAAATTGTTCCTTAAAATGTAAGGAAGCCTTCATTCCGCCCCTCACTTCACGCTACGCCGCCAAGCAGGTTTACAAGTATCATACACAGAGATTGTACTAGTACTTCCCTCTTTCCCCTTTTCAGGAATAGTCCTTTCAAGTACGAGTATCATACTACCACAGGAATACTAGTACTTGTAGTAGTCCAGCAGGATGCAAGTAGAATTGTAGGAAGGAAACAGGAGGGTAAGGCACATTCAGACTCCACACGAACCCGAACACCCGTACCTTCCACACACCCAGTTCTCTCCTACATGATATAAGGATTGGGGGCTGCGACAGAATCCATTACACTTCAGCGAAGTGTGATACCCCGTTAAGAGCGCGAGATCCGGGACAAATCCAGTGTAATCTTGAAGGGGGAGGGCAAAAGAAACCAAAGGAAAGGAAAGGAAAGGAAGAGAAAATCGGGGTACCGGTATAGTATACACAGGGTGGGTTAAAATATTATGCAGGAACTCGCGACTCTTGGATCCCCTGATTGTTGGTGATCTTCTTTTCTTCATCTTCCGATACCGTAGGTGGACACGACACGGCCGGATTGAACCCATTCCAAGGTGGACGGACAGACATAAATACCCGAGTACTTGCCCATCTCGCGCTCCGTTTCGTGATTGCTTGATACTGCTCCCGAGGTTCAGTTTTTTTTTTCTTTTCACGTTGCTGACCGTTTCTTTGCTCCCGTTCCGCTCTCCGGGGAAGACCCAATCAATAGGATCACGGTATCATACCCTGTGCCCAGCACAACGCCGTGTCCTGGTTGCCAACCACAGCGATCGATTCCTCAACAAATTTTTATTGCAAAACTCCGCTGTTATCGAAACTTATCTACTAACTTACCGGTACCGATTCTGCACCGCCCGCCGTACGCGTATCCTACCCACCACCACATTCACCACCACCTCTAACCACCACCACCACCACCACCTTACGCCAACCTATCACTACCCACCTCCCCACCCTCCCCCTCCACCAAAAACATAACGAACCGTTCTACAAAGGATCAAAATTAAAAAAATCGCATACCGACCCGCCAAAATGAGCAACGACCCCGCAATCTTCGGCTTCACGGACAGCAACATCAACACCCTACTCACACGGAACAAGAATTGGGCGCAGCGCACCAGTGCCCTTAGGCCTGGCCTCTTCCCCTCGCTGGCGGACTCGCAGCACCCCCAAATCCTCTGGATCGGATGCAGCGACAGTCGTGTCCCCGAGACCACAGTGCTCAACCTGATGCCCGGAGAGATCTTCACACATAGGAATATCGCAAACCTACTGCCCAGCGGGGACTTGAGTTCGTTGAGCGTTATCCAGTATGCTGTCGAAGTTTTGAAGGTTTGTACCCCTCCCACCCCCCTCCGTACTTCCTCATTACCGTGCATTTGAACTGATGAGACATGCTAGGTTAAACATGTAATTGTCTGCGGACACTACGGGTGCGGCGGCGTTATGGCTGCTCTTGGTAATAAGAAGTACGGACTTGTGGACCATTGGCTGCAGCACCTGCGCGACGTGCGCGCTGCGAACAAAGCCGAATTGGCCTCGATTAGCGATCCGGCAAAGAGGGTTGAGAGGTTGGTCGAGCTGAACGTTCTTGCCCAGATCAATAACTTGAAGAGGCATGCGAATGTTCAGGAGGCGATTAGGGATAGGGGATTGGAGGTGCACGGATTTGTTTACGATGTTTCCAATGGCCTGTGCCAAGTTCTGGACGTGCCAAAGGATCCCGAGGAGGTGGAATATGGCTTGGAGTAGTGCACTGGGTGCCCGCGAACTGAACTGAATGGATTGAGGGGAATTGCCATAACAGGGCTATTAGGGGGTGACTAGGAGAGCAGTTCTTTGGCTTCGAAGGTGTATTTTGCTTGAACCTTTCTCCTTATCATGTTTATGGGGATGTGAATACGAAATACCCCATAGGAGCTACTATTATTTAGAGCCGGCGCACAAATGAGCTAATTTTACGATAGAAATAAAGTCAGTGGTGGGGGGGGCACAATTGATCACCCACAACCAAAATTTAGAATCCAACTACCAGTGAATCTAGAACCTGGCTCTATTTTCTTGTGAGATATACAAGAAGAAAAGGGGCCCAACAACGCTAACTCCGCCGCCTACCAAATCGCCCATGTCCTTCATTCCGCTGCCCCATTATCACCGCCATGTCTATAGGCCCTCAAGACCAAGACCAAGCCCCGAAGGTAATCCAGCATGCTAGCCATCACCCTCCCAAATGCCCTTGACAAAATTACTCCCCGAAGCACCTGTGTAACTCCCCTACGTTGCACCAAAGAGCGCTCGGTATCCTCGTAAGGGTCCCTTCGCAAGATATTGCCTTCTGCGAAAGCTCCTGCTCCTCTTCCGTCTCAGTTTCGCCCCAATCCCGCCTATCGATGTCAATAACAAACATACCCTCCCATCCCGATTCCGTCGGCGGAGCTGGATTGATGGCAAGCCAGTCATTTGGCCCCAACCCCCCTATCACAGACATATAACGCCCTGCTCCCCCAAGCTCCTGTTGGGCCTCTGAGGCCGATCTTCCGAGCAGTGCCGGTGTGAATGTTCCACCTCCTTCAACATTGTTTCAGTTCGATTAAGCCATCCCTTAAGCTCATCTACCTTACTGGTTTGATGAAGAAAGTTCGCTGCAAGTGCTGAGGTCAAGAAAACGGCAAAGAGCCACTTGCTAGACCATCGTCGCACCCAGCAATATAACCATGACCACTCTCTCCTCACCCGGTGACATTGGGCTTTGTAATCCTGGGCTTGTCAAGGTCGCGCTCATTCTAGCGTGAGAAATAATATCACCGCTGGCGCTGCTACCGGAGCCGGTATTGGGACTGTGGGGTGTCTGGTCCCCGTCATTTAGAGCATTAGGAGTCAATGAAACATTCTGACCTTGATCGGATTCCTGAAGCTCTGTAAAACACCCTCGTGCACTTCTGAAGCTACACGGGATTTCAAAGAAAAACACTCGGCTCTTGTTATCTAGGCCAGCGAAAACGGCTCTCCCTCTCGAGAACCCCGATGAAACGTTGAGGGTCTCAAACGATCCCTGTGCCCGGTATATGACACGAGCTATTGGAGCCAAGATATACAGATATTAACACGGGCCGCCCGAGCCAACACGGGACAAGTGACATTTATACCTTCCCGATTTGAGCACTTGACTATAGCTCTACCAATGACCTTCCCGGGCATTTTCGGCAACCTACAGTATATTCAACCTTCCCATGCGGAAGGATCCGACGGGTCCCGCTGGACCGCTTAATATGTATCATGAGTCGCTCGTTCTTCATGCTTGCATGCCGAATTGCTATCGCCCTCAGTTCAGTGAGATCGTGGTTCAGTAATACTGCTTCACTCCCATCTTCGGATATTACTCCTTTCCCCACAAAACATGACTGATAATGACAAATTTGAGCCTGAAGCCGCCAGAGTGGATCTGGATGATTTCATCCATTGGTCCAATGGGAATGGAACGCCCAAGAAGAACCCCATAGAGACCCCAACAGATGGGAATCCATTGTCAGCACCCACACGGCCCTCGATAATGTAGGCAACCTGGCCCACAAAATTGTGATATCCATTCCCTTCCCCATCGAACCCTTCACTAGCAATGGGGTGAGCCGTCGCAAAGGGTGACTGAGAACCGCAGGGCTTCTTCTCCCACCTCGGGTCCAAGCCTCATAAACCCTGGGGCAGGAATATTTTTAGCGATACTGTGCCAAGAACCCCTGCCAGTAAAATTTATCTGGAGAGCAAGTCGCAAGCAAAGGCAGCTTCGGCGTTTGTATGAAAATCGTCTTACCCGCAATTTTCGATTCACTCCCACCACGAATTGTGGGGACATCAATCATTTGCAGTGCCATCCCTTGATTTTAGGGAAGCAACCCCTTAAAGAATTGCCTGCGTCCTTCACTAACTCCTCTGCCTGTAATAGTCCGGCCATTCTTCCCATATCATTCATCAAAAACTCATGCTCACTCGGAGACGCCTCGACTAAATCGTTGTCTGGTGATTCAACAATCAAATCGTCCTGACAATTGGGTCCATTGGTCATAAACAAATAAACTCGGCTTGTCTCAAGTCCAGTTTCAAGAACAATTCCTAGAAACTCAAAGCTTAATATCGAACCCAGCAAATATCCACTCACCAATGCAGCGCCAGGCGAATCTGGCTTTGGTTTCCATTTGCACTCCAAAGTTCAAGACCTCAAAAACAGTGGGCACCGAGGAACCTCGATCAAAAGATTTTTAGGAGTGCCCTGATTAAACTTAGAGGTATCCAGTGACCCACGTAGCCAAACACCAGTGACTTTAGGGCCACCGTCACTGCATGAATCGAGAGTCGGAAGAGTAGTAAATTGCCAATCCGAGCTGTCGCGGATCCTAAAATTGATATACGCCGGATTCTTGCAGCGTGGGAGGCCAGCGGAAACGAAAGTTCCGTACGATCCACCCCCGATGTGCACCGGTTCAACACTGAGCATGGCCTCAATAACTGATAACTAAACCCATCAGCAAAAGCGTTATTACCCGTCAGCGAAGCTCTGTAATTGGAAGGGTCTTATGCCAAAAGCAAAATCTCCCACTCCCTCCGGGAAGGCTACAGAAAGTTTACCACATACTCACCGATAACTTACCAACCCCACCACTCGTGATTAGCGCTGCATCCTCTCTGCTGTTAGGCCCTATGGGTGATGGCGCTCTACTATCGCAGTCAGGCTTGCCCCCGCGGTGAGCACCAGAGCGTCTCCCATCATTCCTACCCCAAGTTGATCTCCCCTCGCCCCCATGGAGATCCACGGAACCACCAACGCTTTAAGTACCAAAAGCATGTTCGCACGCGAGCTCCCGACTGTCGGAAAGCACCGCCTCATCCCCCGCGCTCAGTGGTGGGGGCAAATCTTCTCTACGAGTACCAGGAAGCCGCACCCGCTCATGAACAGACCCGGTCTCCATTGTGCCACCGCATATTACCAGTGCCCCACTACCACCGCCCTCACCTCTACATGCCAATTTAACCACATTCTCAGCTGTTGGCTTTTCCGCATCGAGCGAACCAGGTGTTGGTACCTGTGCGTGTGCCGCTCCTTATTCACCTAGAGACACCCCGCCATCCAACACAATCTCACCCTCCTCGTGTCCACGGGAGTCTGTGTCGTCTCCCAATGTCTGCCAGAAGCGACGGGAATGCTCAACGCCCGGATCACTGGTGTGGCCCTAGGACAGGAGCCATCGGGAAGGAGCGGAATGGCACGTATCAACGTCTCTTTGGTAACGAGGGCCTGCAAGTGGAGAAGTGACAGCTTTTCACCCGGCTGCGGAACAATCTAGACAAGCAAGACGCGCATAGATTCAGTTAATTAACTCCAACAATGTCTCAGCCTATAATTTGTTAACAGGTTTAGAGCTGTTGGCTGGCTGATTGGGCTAACAAGGCGGTTTCTAGAAGAGTATCATATTGTACATAGCAGGGTATGGATAAAGGGGGAGGGCGGTGGAGGTATTATACTCGAGTACTTGTGTATGCAGAAGAACCTCGGCTGCACTTCTCGGATCCCAACGCGCCACGATGGATAAGTCGGTAGATGGGATACGGTACCGTAGTATTCCGTACCATATCTGACATCTTCGCGACTGATGCTATACCGGTATTCCGTTCCAAACGCCACAAGGGAATATATCCAAAAAGAGTCTGCCCTGTGGGCAGCGGATCCCAATTATAGCGGAAGAAGAAGAAAAAAAGGAAGTACTGCATAAAGGAAACGAAAGGAAACAAACAGAAAACCCCACAACTTGGAAATTCATTGGACAAGAATGCGCGCAGAACATTCTTTGAGAGCGTGCCGTGATTCGTTTCTCCACTCAACCACCCGCCCCTTTTCTTTGTCTACCGTGGTCGTCGTCCCACCTACTAATGCATCACGCAAGCAAGCTATCGACAGCTGAATGGACTGATTTTGTTTTTTTGTTTTTTTTAAAAAAAAAGGCTGAGAAGGGACCTGTTTCTTTGCAAGGGCCCGCCTTTGGTATGATACTTACGAATATACAAGTATTTCGGGTAGGATTTGTCACCCCCCTTTTTTTTTTTTTTGTCAGAGAGAGAGAGAGAGGGTTTACTTTACGAATGCTGGCACGATAGAGCGGCACTGGCAGCGTGATGCTCCTTGGGCACAGCGGGCCGACGCCAAGCTCTGGTTGCTTCCAGCCGGCACTTTCAAACAATAAAGTGGAGCAGGAGTACCGTACCAGGAATACGACCGAGATCAAAAACATGCGCTGCAATCCTTGCAACCCAGGTAACCCCATCACCATCACCACAACCACCACTGCCGATTCACGGAATGATATTGTTTTTTTCAAAAAATAAACATAAAATCCGGAAAAAAGCAATAATTCAGCAGCCTAAGTTTGGTGCCCTATGATTTTAAGAGCTCCCCCACTTTTTCCGCCTCCCAAAGCCGACGATCGTGAGGGGGAGAGAGAGAGGACGGGGCAAGGACAAAAAAAAAAAAAAAGGAAGTCACCGTACCCCATCCCATCATCATCCATGGAATTAGAACAAATAAATTAGGATTTAGCAAGAAATCAAATAAACTCTCTCAAATTATATCCCTTCCCCCCACCACTTCACAACTACCTTCTCCGGTAACGCCGTAACGGTACTTGAGAAGAGAGGGGGGGGGTAACTTAAGCATAAGTGAGGCGAACTCGGGTTTTACCGGAAAAAATTGAGGGCCGATCTCTTCTTTTTTCTCTTTCGAAGTTGGAAAGAAATGTCAGGCGAACCTATATGGTGCCACCACACTCTAGCCACAGCCGCCTCACGATATTCGACTACTCAGTTAGCCTGAGCTTATACCGGCAGGCTCAGAAACCGATCGGGTAGGCTGCCCTCACCTACCGGTACCCTTAACCCGGTACCGCACAGCTACGGTATCACGGGCCAGATACCTCTTTAGCCCACTCTGTTAACCTGCTAGCCCCAGCCCAAAGGAAAAGAAAGTAGAACTGAATAACCACCCAGAACATGTGTCATCCTATTGTAGCGGGCACTCGAGTGCTCGAATACTACCGCGCTCGAGTGCTGAGCTATGCTCGCCTGGTTGTAATCTTGGCAAGGACTCCCTTTTTACCCTCCACCCACCCACAGCCCGCGAGGACTCCGGGAGCCCTTAAATTCGCGCGATAATGTCTTACACCGGAACCCTATTGCGCAACCCAAGACAGCCAATCTCTATCCATTTCAAACAATGCCTGCATGGAGCATTTCACGATACAAGTTAACTTGCAGACAGCAGGAAGGGAAAGGAAAGATGGTGGTGGGTGTTCCTATTGGACGCCCATTTCCCACAGGGCTGCCTCCTGCTACCAGTGATGCTGTTGCCGATTGATGCTGTACACATCGGACCAATGGAGTAGTCTCACCCGTGGTATCATCGGAGAAGTTAATTTTGTCGGAGCCTGGATTCAAAATTTAGGGTTCGGGACATTGGTCCGGATTGAATTCGAAGTATACACACGAAAGTCGAATGTGAATGCACGATAATGCGAATTAAAAGAGGAAGGTGGAAAAAGTGGAAATATGGGGAAGGGCGCGATGAAAGGATAAAAAAGAGAAAGGGAAAAACCCTAACAGCCATCTTTTTATGTAGTATCGCCGGCTTGCCTTATTGTACTCCTGCTTGAAACAATATAACACTAATGCATTTAAGGACCCAAACAGTGAGGATAGTGCGGATGAAGAAAGTGAAAAGAAAAAAAAAAAGTGGGGGGAGGGGGTCACTGGTCTGAAAAACGAAAACTGAGAAGTCACCCTCCGATTTGCCCTCACCCCCCCTGTACTGTCGTGCCCCTCCGATCCCCAATTCACCCCAGCCCCCCAGCCATTGCGGCTTCCTGATGCAGCATTCTGTTGTAAATTCTCCGAATGGAATTGAAATTGAAGCGAAAATCGAATGAAAATCAGGTGAAAAGTAGATAAAGCCATCAACATAAGAAACGTGAAAACCCCCAATGAATACGAATGTCATTCGATATCGTGTCTTAGATCCTATGAAAACCACCCATGCTGCGCCATTAAAGAATATGAAATGAAATACCTGTCTTCCAACCTCCATGGGCCCCAATCACTTCTAGCCCTTCGAACGTATAGCGACAGCATTAAAGCCCATCTCAATGCTCAGACAAAAAAACAAATAAACGAGAAAGGTCCCATAAAGTAAATGGAATTGGAAAAAGGCGAGGGAAAAAATGAGATGAAAGCATGGGGAAATGTTTTTTCCAGAAAGCAGGCTCCAAGAATCTCCACAATACGAACCCGACAACATATTGAACCAAACCCCAAACCAAGGCAATGCACAGTACATGACCAGAATAAACATCGGCGAGTACAAAGCTGTTCTTTTCCCCCGCATTCATAATATTTCGGCCGTATTCACATAAAGGGCTCTTTCAAAATAAGCCAGTCATCCCTATGCTGACGACTGCTGTTGAGCCGCAGAATCGAAGGAGTTGGGCGGCCCGTACACGATTTGTTGACCCAAAATCGGCGCCATGGCATTATGTTGCTGTGCTGTTGTCTGGTTTTGGGATCCAGAGTTCATGGGCGGTAATGGTAGCTGCAACGGAGGGAGATAGACCGTGTTTGGCTGCTGCCGGTGCGGCGAGACGCGTGGAGGAGCCATGGGCATTGACGGTGTCGAGGATGCTGGGGCGCTCAACGGCGACGGTGTATGGGGCGGGGGCCTAGAAAGAGTTGCGGATGAAGGGGGCATTTCTGATACTGGTACCGGTGACCTAATTAGAGGTCCTAAATTGGGCGACTGAGAATGTGGTGGTGGGCCCCCATGGGACAATTGGGTCTGCTGGGGCCCTGGGGCATACCGATATTGGTTCGGAAGGGGCGCGGCTGACGGCAATGGAGAGCGTTGATGAGGTTGGCGCGGGCGAGGTGACTGATAAGGTGATGAGGTCGAGGAATGTGATAGTGGGGGCGGTGGTGGAGGCGCTGGGGCAGGTTGCCGATACGGATACTCAAGTGGGTTCCCATGTCCTTGAGATTGGTGCCCGTAAGAGTTAGGTGGGCCAGGGCAACTGTGGTAGCCCTGATACTGCGGTTGAGAGGACGGAGGATGCATGCCATAATGTTGATCATAGTGCGGACGGGAGCTGTAGGGCAAATCTCCCCTTGAATCCCTTGGACTAACTACAGTGTCAGAAGTCTTCCGACGTTTTGCTGACTCGCCGCCGTAGAGTGGATACTCATGATTTGGAGAGTGGGCGAACACCTGGGGCTGGTAAGGGCGAGAATCATTAGGCATCGGCATGTAGGGCCTGGCCGAGTGGGAGAGAGGGTATTCTTCTGGCCGCATGCCCGGCGGAGGTCGTTTTCTATATCCCTTCATTAGCCAAAAGATGATAGGTAAATAATAGAAAATGATTCTCACAACAATGTACGTGGCTCCTTCCGAATCCGTAATCTAACTCCTTGATCCCCAAACGATCGAGACAAAAATGTTGATTCGGACATCCCCGGAAAGTTCTTTGCCGCATATACTAGGCAGGATGTTAGATTAGTCCAACTGGGAGGAGTAATATAACAAACCAGTAAATGGCTCTGAGGTTATAGATTTGATGTGCACAACCTCATTTCTATCATGTTCATCAGCAGCCTCCTAAGTAAATATCTCGGAAATTTTATTACTCACTTTAACATCTCAAATAAACTGAATCTCAAACGATATTCACCCTCAATCTTAACTGACAAGTCACCAAATACGAAGAAGCCACCATCTAACCATCATCAGCCTCCGTTCCGATTAGTTTCTCCAGAGAGCTAAAGAAATTACCACTATTATCGATGTCCTTCAACCTATGTAGGGACGAAACTAATGTTCCAGCCAACGCTTGGTGTGGGGGTATATGTGAAGGCGAGTCATGCATAGAACTGTAAAGGTTCGTACACATGAAATAGTATGGGCTCTGAAGATAATTCCTGTATATGAATGTCAATCAGCATCCGAAACTCACTCTGGAGAGGGGTAATCAACATACTGAGCAGGGTCAGTGTCATCTCGAATCTTCAACTGGATTATTGGCGGCGGATCTACTGGCTTTCTGTCTAAACCCCCACAAACTTCAGTGCTCCATTTTCCCAGGCCATGCGTAGGAGGGCTAAAAGGGAGGCGAACCTTTCTCCTTTACCCCAGCAACCCGTGCCCTTTCAGGGCCTTGTCGAATATGCAATTCATAGTCCTCGCTGTGAATAAAGGGTCAACCGTTGTTCCCTTAGGGTAATGCAAGGGACGAGTGAATGCAATTCATTACCTTCTCACTCCCCTTCCTACTCGAGAAGAGGCGTCAACAAAAGTGTGAGAGTTCATCCAAGCTTTACTCGAGTGATGATCGAGTCTGTACCGGAATTGATTGAAGGTTGATTCAATATTTTCGGTGAGACTCTGAGGAGTAGTTATTACGGCCTCGGGTCAACCTCACGAAGTGCTTCCGAGCTCAAAACGCTGTGTATCCAAGCAAACTCCGGTAATGCGGCGGTGCGAGGGGGCAGGGTTTCACAAACCCAAAGCTCTCAAGGCAATGCGAGGGTATGGGTTATATGGCAGCGATCTTGACGAGACACACCCAAGCGGAAGCCCGGGCCACTTGATCGACTTAGCGGGCGGCTACAGCGTTGATGGTTCGCGAAAGCTCCTTGCTGTACGCTGCTGCGTCTGCGATATTCTCTATTCGTAAAAGGAGTCAAAAATTCACACTCGAGCGCTCGGCCATGTGAAAATGGATAGGGCTGGTAGGATCGTGGATATTGCGTGCAATAGCTTCCCCTGCAGAAGTATGCCGTCTCCCTTTCTTTTCTTTTCCTTTTGGTCTGAAATATTCCGGAACGAAATTTTGCTCCTTCGTTTATCTTCCTGTGCCCTTATCCCCTTCCTCTCCTGCTTTCCCCCAGCAGAAGACTATTTACCTCACTTGGTCTGACTCTGCCTGTGAACTTTTTTTTAAAAAAAATCCCGCTCCCTTCCTGCTACCAGCGTTGCAATGTATCCTCCCTTCTGCCTCTTGCTCTGCGGTGTTTCTTCTCAACGCTTGAACCCGCCTAACGTCTCAACTCGACCAAAGTGCAGTCCGCAAAGTTTCGGTAAAGTATCCTAGAGAAACTATTAATTTCCCCGCAGCTCTGATTCCGCTCGGGTTGGTTGAAACGGGGCGCCAAAAGTGAATGGATGCTGGCTCAATGATGCCAAGCGAACGAAGATTATTGCAACTGTGACTGCAACCAGGAATCCGCAAAACCGTAAATCCAAATAGCGCGAGGTGGCGTGAATACGAAACTTGGAGACTGGTCGAAGTTGCGTTCGGGGAACTACAAAACTGACTGTAGCGTATATAAGTCGGGAGAGCAACGGCAACGGACCAAAGTGAAAATAAAACAAAAAACGAAAGAAGGAATAAAAGAGAAAGAGGCGAATGTGCGAACGAAGGCAGGAAGCTGCCGAGAAGATGTGTAGGTTGGTATTATGTGCGTAAAGAAGAAGGTATCCGGAGGAGGGGATGGAGGGAGGCGGTAGGGTAGCGACGGTAGATCGGGCGTGACAGGATTGGGGGGGGGGGGGTAAAGGGTTATTGTTTGCGGGTTTGCTTGGTACAAGCTTGACGGGAAATAAGGATTGACTGAGTAACCGGAATTCAATATAGGATGATTACGGAGAATTGTGTGTTGTCCAGTTGCTCACTGTCCAACTCTCACTCAAGTCACTCCTCTCGTCTCGTCTTTTTTTCTTTTTTCCTTTTTTCCTCTTCTTTCTTCCCACGGCCTAGTTTCCCTTTTCCCCTTTCCCCCCTAAGATCTCTTTGAGGACTACCGGTAGCTCTTTAGATTCTGCAACCTTCCCTAGTTTGTTCGGTGGCTCGGAAAATGCAAACAGTCGCGAGCTGTCAACGGAAATACTTTTTGAGTTGATGCAATTCAAATTAAAATATGCCCGCTCTCAAGGTTTTCTCTTCGGAGTGCTGCAGGACGTGCACGCGCCAGCAATAGTCAAGACAGCGGCAGGACTAGAGATGGAAGGGGAGAGAGGATGGAGAGAGAGGGTGGTGTGATGAATTATGGGTATGAGGAGGGTTGGCTGGAGGGATGAACGGGGACGGGGAAGGGGATCTTTGAGCAACGTGTGAGTGTGTGATATTTCTGTGCAACGGCTTGCAGATTTGGACGAGAAGGGTCGAGGAAGCAAGATACGGCGCCAAAATGGGACTTGACAGATTGACTGCTGGGTACCCAGTCGGGGCAGCTTCTCGTAGACCCCGAATTTTGAGAAAGGCAGCGCGCAGTGTCTCGGGTGACGAAATATGTGGAAGGGCAACACTAGGCGGGCAATTGGCAGAGAGGAACGGTAGGGTAGTAGTACCGGGGGGCGTGTGTGTAGGGGGTGTGTGGCAAGTGAGTACAGTATTAAGAAAAAGATAGAGATATTATGAGCTGTAATGTAAAAAGAAGGAAAGTGGGTAAGCGGATGATGGTGTGTGGGGGGGGGGGGGGAAGTGATCCGGGAAAGATTCAATTGCGCAGTAGAGAAGGCCGGCCAGGCAGCACTTATGGCCGCAATTGCAGGGCCATCTAAGTAGGAATTTGGATATTGCTAACCATAGTAGGCTACAATGTGGTCGGCAAAATAGAGATATTGTTGTCTACCAGTATGATGGGTTGAGGTGCACGGTGGCGGAGGGCTTTGCGGTGCTCGAGAGGAGCCAACATGCCAGCGCAACTCGAAGGGGGCGGGCGAGGAAAAAGTTAGGTCAGAGCCGAACGGGTGGAAGCAAGACGGGTTACTGTACAAGTAAATCTAGATCACCCTAAAACACTTTCAACTGCGGGAAGCGAAGTAGCACCCAAACAATTACGGTACTGTACCTGTGAGTGTGTTGCTGGCAAGACATATCGCAGAATTAATGTACGAGTACAAGTACTGCACACTATTTATTATATTTGTGAATGGATGTACAGGGAGGTAAGTTACTTTAAACCGGTATGGATGCACGCATGTACTCGTACAGTACCGAGCCGTGAGCCCGAAGAGTACAAAACTTGTGCGGTCAGAAATTCGAAAGGTTGGGAGGAAACGAGAGCAGTAGGGTAGGAGGTGAGAACAGCCACCACACCATCCCATGCCATTAAACATCATCTGCACAATCACTACCACAACTGCCCACAACCCTATGTACTCTAGAATATCATAACAGCACCAGTGCAGCCATCACGAGAAAAGTGTAAAGCAGTAGAAGGGCAACCGTCGTCTCCGGGGCCGGTCACGGGCGGTAGCCGCAGGGAGCCGGCAACAAGAAAATGTTTACCACCACCACCACCACCACTCCGTAGAACAATGCACCAACAAATTGTGTTCAACCCCCCCTTCTACACTTGTCCTCTTTCACCTATTCGATTCTTCTCCCAGTGATTTTTTTTTCTTCACTTTCCTATACCATTCATCCATCTCTTGTATTCCGCATTCTGTCATGGCTAAAAAGTTTTTTTTCTTTTTTGGCCTTTTGGCAATTCCGATGGCTTCAATCTATGGCCACCTTTTCGGTTTCGCTCATATGGAGACATGTTGTTGTTATGAGCCAGCCTTGCCCAGCCTAACCTCAGCCTGCCCAGTCCAGCCTGTCGGCCCAGAGCATGTGGCGATAAATCGAGTCTTGCCTATTCCTCGGTCGAGGCTGCTGGTGCACAAAAACGCTACCACAGTCCCGCTTGCGCAACCCGCCGGCCCCTCTGAACCAGGTAGCATGTCTGATCACGGCTAAAGCTCCGGTACGCTATGCCTGAGAATCATCAACACCCTTGCCCGTCAGAGCCTGTTTATCTCATGCGGATATGGGTTTCTAACTATGGTCCATCCCAGTCAATTGGCCATGTGAGTGTGGATTTTTATTATTGGTTAGTATCCGTAGCCTTGCACTTGCAGCGATGCTTGAAAGCCTATGAGGTGGCAGGAAATTGGGGGAAAAAAGAAATGGTAATAAAATAGCAATAATATAATATTATTATTATTGTTAAAATAAAATAAAATAAAAAAAGAAAGAAAAAGATAAACCCGAAAGCATCAGGCCAAAAAAAAAAAAGAATAAAATTAAGCTGGAAAAAAAGAAAATACAGGAACGAAAAAGGGAGGGGCCAGCCAGAGAGGGAAAGATTAGGGAAGGATAAGATGTCGCCAGGACGGGTACAAGTACGCCGATAGGTCGATACGCGGACCTTTCTTCTTTCTGGTCCGCTGATTTGAATCAGCACCACGTTTTTGTGGCGTGGAGGAACCGTTGCGCACGGCAGTAACAGCTTTCTCAGGGCCAGATTTCCAGGCAGACAGACACAGGGCCAACCAAGGGTTCCTGTTACATACCGGTAGTGTATAATTGCTTTTCTCTCGCTTGCTGAGAGGGTCCATGCGGCAATGGAAAAAGGTAAATCGCACCTCTCAAAAGACAGAAAAAATCGGTCGTGGAACAAGCAAGAACAATTGTGATCGAGCCTCATGGGCAGCCTCTCTACCCGGACTCTGTCTGTCCTGGTACGACCAATTTCCTGGGTAATTTACCCCTGGCACTGTACAAGTACTCGTACAAGTACTTGTACTTGCTTGCCCCACTCCACTTTCCCCCCATTGGCCATTCCGTTATTCCCCACTCCTCAAAATCCTCTCTCACAACACAACCGGACTCTTGAACTTTTTAGTAGCCAAGAACGAGGAGAAAGGAAGGTAGTAAGGAATAACGAAAAAAAAGAAAGGTGGCCTGACAGCCGATACCCCCGTTGAACGAAGAGCTACCGGTACCAGACAATAGACATCCCAAAAGGAAAATGTTTGCCGCGGCTGCGACAAGCCCCAGGACGAAAAGAGTGGCAGCCAAGGTTCTGTTGCCGAGAATCCATCTCCAACTCCCTCCAAGCAGTCCGTTTTCTTTATTGCCCACACACTGTCCTGTCCGGATCGATAGAAATATATTAAGCCCACATACAATTGTGCCTGATACAGCTGATCCGATGAACCCACCCAATTCATGGATGGTGATCAGAGGACAAGACATCAAGGAAGCAGGATGGGACGGGCGAGGTAAAGTCAACAAACCTTCCCCCTCCTCCCAATAGACAACCAAGTCCGAATAAATAGATCACCCCAAAGTTATCCGGCTCTTTTGAAGTTCCGGGGTTGGTGATTATGATGACGGCGGTGGGAGTGAATTGACCTTGTCCTCCCCAAGTACGTTACAGTACACTTTCGATAATAGGGTCAAACAAAACGCTACAATTTCACGGCTAGATGAGACTTTTGCTTACCGGCACCACTTCCTTCCAGTGATCCAGATTCTCCGTGTCTTCCCCCGTGTTTTTCCTTCCAGTCTGTCTCCGGCATGTTTCTACTGTGAAACTCCTACCTGAGCGATCCACGAGTCGACAAGATAACCATGTGCAGGGCCAAGAGGGTAACTTAAGAGGATGACGAATAGAGAATCATCCGTGCGCCAATCACTTATTTCCCGGCACTAGGCGCCAACCGTGTTCTAGAGTGGTTAAGGGCGAGCGGAGGATCAAGGGGGATCGGGGGGCTGTCGTAACTTACAAGTACGGTAGTCTACTTGTACGAGTACTGTACGAGTACAGTCCTGTGGGCTCCGCCGTCAGTATGGAGTGGAGTCGTGGGACCAGATACTGGTGGTTATAGTGATGTCTGATATACAAGCATGGGTTTTCATACCAGGATGGGGGTATGAGCACCGTCCCGCAGCATGCACCTCCAGAATGCCGTGTGGTATTGCCCTCGTTGTATTCGTGGTTCAGTGGCTTAGCCACTTACCGCACTGAAGCCCACCTGCTTGGCCCTTTTCTTCTGTGGTGTCGGTTCTGTTGCTTTTCCAACGTATTTGTGCCAGTACGGAACTACATAGGGAAAAAACTTTATGCTGTGTCGGACCTCACTCACCGGTATGATACCAGATAACTGTACTCGGGTGTGTCAGCAAAAAATGGAGGACCATTTTTGCTGATCCCAGATGCATCTCTCTGGACAAGAGCTATGTTCTCGGATTTTTATGGACACACCCGAGTAGAACTGCACATATTCTCTCCAATTACTTATCCTCCTCCCGATGCTCAATCCGATCTTATTTTAATGTGGCAAATGTGACAAGGCTTCCGGTGCTGCGACCACCCCCATGCATGTCCGAGTTCTGCTCCTGGTGAACAGGCTGCAACAGCGCCCGTGCACGGTGTGACAGGGGGAGGAGTTAAGAGGTTCAAAAAGGGTTCGAAAGTGGTGTGGAGTATTCGGGGTTACTTACTCGAGTATACGGTAAGGTTGTCTCGGGGGTCAGCTCGATGGGATATGGGATAATCGATCGTCTTTTTCATCCTGCAGCGGTCGGGGAAGCTGCTTCTGCCTCACTGTTCCAGCTGTAGCCCTGGGCGCACCCGCAACCACATCCATAGCATCCACCACACCACATCGATCCATCCATCTATCGAACCCACCCCTCCTCCAATCCACACATCCACATACGTACCGTGTCCTTATCCACAGCAAAATATCC